TCTACGTAAAAGTAGTCTCAAAAGCCCTAAGGAAACATCACAACGTCGACTTGGATCAAGAAGCAACAAATAAGGGCCTGAGCGTCACCAGCTTACTCAAGGCATTTGTTAATGCTGCGCTCACAGATAAGGTAAGAAATTCTATGGAAGACTTAAGCCAATACCAATAAGCTCAAATGAAACAAGGTACTGTGCAGTTACCTTGGTCCTATGATGCTGCAATTTAGACATGCTAATGTCCTTATTAAAAACTCCTAATCTAAGTAGTGTTCATATTTAGCCAGACATTTTGCTGAATACTGCCTCAGGCGCGAATCCTTAAGCTACCAATAGTTTGACCCGTCCTGTTCTTTGGTCGGATTAGATGAATTGGTTCGTATGTGCAAATCAAACAAACCTTTTTATCATTCACATCTACCGATAAATCGGGAGGCAGAAGCCAGAGATCATGCCGTGGACCGATAAACACATTTAACTTCCTCCACTTAGACATCAGAGTCTGCTGCAGAAATTCCATGCATTTGCGGCGATCAAGATACTTTCGGGACTCTAGAAAACTAATATTGAGGTTGCCGTGATCATGGAAGACAGCGCCGCCTCCGGACATTCGTCTGGCCAGAAGCCATCCTCGACCCTCCACCTCTCGAGGGTTGGCCTCGAGCCAGGGGATTTGGTTGCGTCCAATCACCACGCAGGGATCCGAGCGCCATATCACTACGTCCGCAGGTCGCATCTGCAAAGACGGTTCCTTGGCATAGCGTGCAGTAGTGTTGAAAAGAGTGGTCTCAAAGGCAAGGTTGCGATAAATACTGCCTGATGAGAGCCAGTAAATATGATTAAGAGTTGACTCCGACGTGAATTTGCGAAAAACCCTGACCTCGAATAGGCGCGAAATCAGACCGCGACTTGACATCGGAAGCATCTAAAAACAAATGCATGAAAGTGACAATATGGGTGCATCAAATTTTATGAAGAGCAAAATGATCAACTTTGATAAGTGGAAAAGCCCACTAACTGGTCTGACAGCTACATATAAACGTCTTAAGCGGAGGTAAGGGTCTGACACGGTACGTTAAGCTCATCCCGTACGCCGACGGTTTGTAGCTAGAATTTAAAATTTTTGGTCCTTTGAAAACACCCATAGTTTTAGTCATTTCAACGCTGTAATTATGGAACCCAACTAATGTACAGCAATTTCAAGCGTAAATAGTAATTGAGTGAAACGCTGGACGACTACAAAGGGATATGTGGTACAACGCCTGCTTCAAGGTCGTGAAGCCCCGCCAGCCAGTATAGCACATCCTACGAACCTATTGAAGAAAGACACTAAATCCCGATTAGTTTGACATCGTTATACATCCCTCCGCATCCTATTTAGAAATATTTCTACTCTGCGACCCATGATTGCTACCTAATAGAGCTAAGACACGTCGATGAGGGGATCGCACAACTTTGTACTTCGTACCAAGCCATCGAGATAATCGAACGATGGCAGATCTAACGTAAAAAACCATGAAAACTATAGACGGAGGTAAATGACAGCAAAATGAAGCCTCGTCAAATCAAGGTAGCATCAGAACAATCCACCACATGCCATTTCTGAAAATGCCTACAAGTACGCATATTAAAACAGGAAGAATTTGAACAAGATGACTCTATTTAGCGAAGACTGCACGAAGATGATCCCAAAAGAGCAATGCGCTTTAAAGTCCCAATCACAAAGAAGGGGCTCACGTTCTTTCCTGCGCTTCTTGAAAATAAATGAGCAGTTACAGAATTTGGATTCATGAAAGAACAAAAAGGAACAGAATATCAAGGTGGTTATCTCCCTTTCGTAGGCAAAAGAAAATGAGGCGCGTCAGATTAGGGATATTTACAGGGGATTAAGAAACCGTCAAAGAAGTAAGCCGCATTCTAGGTGTCCGTATCATCCCAACTATCCTCCACACATGCGCGCACACGCTTCTCATACTCCCGCCTATTTTCAACGTATAACTGAGCCGCAACACTGTTGGCCGGGGAATTGGGATTCGGTTCATCAAGTAGAGATTGAATCGAAGTTAAGATGGCAAGAACGTCATACGTGGGACTCCAGGCGTTTGAGAGAATATCCAAGCAGATGCTTCCATCCGCATACACATTAGGATGGAACATTTTTGAAAGGAAGACAACGCGAGGCGCCTTATTAGGGTATTCTTCAGTAAACTCCAGCTTCAACTTGAAAGTCCCATCTTCAAAGGCAGTTTCCTCAGGTCCAAAAATAACCGCATTCCAGACCATTACGTTGTCAGTCGGAGATCCACAAATACCAGGCGGTGGGTCATTCTGTAGGCGTTTCAGATCCCGCAACAGTCGCCGTTGTGCAGGCGTCGACATTCGAAGCGGATCTTAAAGGGAAGAAAGGGAGCTCTGAGATCACAGCGAAAAATTTCCCCAATCAGTGCATAGAAGTCTGATACACAACAGTCAGTACGAAGCAAATAAATCTGACGCGAATGTCTAATACAAGATAGGATTCCAACCTACCTAAATAGAGAAAGCTAAATGGGTTGCACCATACGTGGCAAAAATATGCTACCTAGGAATCTGAGAAACTTTATTTCATGCCAAAGATTAGATTATTCAAAGGAAAATCTCCCAAAAGTAGAGCACTAGCTATAACCACGGTTGAACTGAGCTAAAAAGATAAGGGTAATGCTGAACATAACCACTCACATGGGATGTAGTGGATACAAAGAAAAGATGGGAGAGAATGAACGATTGTGAAAGAGAAGGCATATATTATGAAAATGAATAAAAAGAGAGAATAAAGCACGGGAACATTACCGAAAGGAATAGCCACAACAATTCAAAAAAACAGAAGCAGAATAGAAGGAAAGGAGCGCCTCCTCGACTTCAGTCAGTCAAACACGAGCGCGGTCATACACAGAGTTCAAATAGTTAAGCTTATGTACCAGGAAATTAAATAATGCTTTTATATATTTTTTCGAGATTTAGAGCGCTAATTTTTATGGATAGTGCTAGGGAAGCATTGCTGAAATATAAATCCATGACGATATCATTACATAGTTGATATTTTTTGTTAGTCATTACAGTTATAAAAGTTCAACCAGTGGTCCTTTTCAATACTAAAAGACTTGGCTGATCTTGCGGTCCTTAAGTTAATGCAGACACATTTACAGCAGCCCAGCTATGTTTTAAAAATGTTGGAAATGCAATTATTATCTGGCTTACAGGTTATTGTCAGAGTTATTGTTAATTTTGTCATATTATATGTAGCTTCTCGAGACTTCCCACCGGGGAAAGGAAGGCAGTAGGTGTAGCTGAATATATATATATATATTTTAGGGAGGACAATGCAATTAAGCCCGAGCAAGGCCCGAAGGCCAGCCCACGTATACAAAGGCTAGACAAATCTTAAAGTGATAGCCAAACGTCAAATGATCACATAAACAAAGTATTAACATTTAACCTTGATAATTTTTTTGGTATTACGATTCATCATTCAAGTTCTCTCAGTCGCAATCTTGAGCAGATCACAATCACTTGAATTGCAGAGGTCACTATTGCTCTATGCTTCACAACGCTACCCCAACTTGTTCAAGTTGTCACAGCTGTATAAATTTTGGTCGAATGCCCGTGTTCGGATAGGAAGCATAGAAGTGAGGTCTTGGCAGACAAGGATAAGACCACCGCCAAAGAAACAGCCATATATGTTGGAAGTCGATTATGCAAAGCATCAAGTTTCATCGCAAATCTTCTTTGTAGATAAGATACATGGATCCCTCGTCAAGGCTAAAAAACCATTCAGTCTGCCTGAAGCAAAATGAGTGGCCAAGTCGCCTCACGCCAATCCGGTGTTTAAACGAGCAACATAAGATTTGAGCGACAGGTCACCTCTGGT